CCAGATAGGTTAGCCAAAATGTATACAACTTGAGTAACAAATGTTGGAAATGTAACAATCATGTTGGATCATGCTATCATATGTGGTGGACATGTAAAAAGGTTCATAAATATTGTATTGGCGTACATACTCTCTTATAGTCAGTGTTGAATATTACAATACATTTTAAACCAGAGATATTCCTGTTAAACTGTTTACCACATGACTTAGATAAGAACCATAGATACTTTATTTTACATGTTATAACAGCAGCCAGAATTTTATTTGCAATGGCATGGAGGACATTGAAAATCCCACACTTTATGAGATTATAACGAAGATTATGAATTGTGCCGAAATGGACAGATTGATAAATATATTAAAAGGAGAAATGGAAGAATTTATGGGACCATGGAGGCTGTTTTATGACTGGTTAAGACACAAGTACTGAGAAACTAAGATTAAATGAAGAACAACAAGAATGATGGGTTATAATAGCTGTGAAGCCTTCATGAGAATATTTGCATGCAGAATGTTAAATTGGACTTTTAAAAATATGTTTCTGTATCTTTCCTTATCCCTGCTTTCCCCTCTCCCTTTCCATGTATAAACTAATACAATTCTTTTAAAAAAACACAAAGTGGATCTGGGCAGTTCTCTCTTATCATGATTAACATCCCAGGGTTGTTGCAATATAGTGTTCTCTTTACTCTTACATAAACCTTTTAGCCTCTTGATTCACTGAGGACAGTGAAATGATTTGTAGCACAAGTGGAAGGCGACTTGAGATTTGAAATGAATTCAACCAAATCAGGTTAGAGCTAATCTTCAGGCATACTTTGTGATAGTCATGGTGCTATTGCTGCTGCACAAAAACACCCAGCAAACTTGTTCTGAGTACTGAGGGAGCTTATCCATTGTGCTTTTGATGATCCAAGTTTGGAACAACATCCAGTAATTCACTGTGATATTTTTGCTAAGCATTTTGTAGACAAAACTGCTTGCATCTGACATGACTAATGGTTCAACTGTTCAGTCTCAGAATCTGAGCACTACCTGGCCACAGTTTTTGGGATGGAAGAACCTAGCCCATTGTGCTTGATCCTTTTTTATCTTAGCTTAAATCTAACCAGAAGTAGTTAAGCAACATATCCTTTGGGAGTGGCTGGTAGGGATGGGTTTTATATGTGCTACAGTGATTAATTCCTGTCTGCCTGATCAGTACCTGGTGGTGCTGGGAGATAGATTTTTAGGTCATTGGCTTTTATACTACAAGATCCAGCAAGGTTCTTACCATGCTATTTAACACTGATATGAAACTCTTGGGGAAGATTATCCAGTCAGTTGAAATGTGGTGTCATCAAACTACAGATAGCACTCGGCTCATTTTTTCCTTCTCAATTAGGTTAGTGGATATTCTTGTTTAAATTATTACAGTTCCATTAGAAGAAATGGTTAATTTGTAGCTGTCGGTTTCCAGGTTTGTATGTATGAGTACCAGGTTGAATTATTGAGCTCAATAAAGATGTAGCATTCCGTTACCCTGATGCTATGCATTATTTTTCCTTTTTAAATTTACAAAATTTGTTTTTAATTTAGCATTCACATCACTGTACTGTATTGCATTGTAACCTTGCTTTTAAAACTATGCATATAGTGGATTATGTCCTATTAGTGATAGAAGGATCTTCCTTTCTCAGATCTTCTGTCTCAATCTTGGATCTACCAGCAGTCAGCTACTCTGCAATAAAGGAAAAGACCCATTGGCTCAAATGCTACTTAGACCCTTCCCTCACAGACTCTTGTCGGTGACTGGCCATGTTGCACCAGACCAAGGCAGGATGCCTGCATGTGTGCCTGCCACTTTCTCTCTTGGATTCTGTTAGTGGCTGGGCTCAACACAGAAGTGGTACAAAATGATCTCCATTGTACTGGCCTGGTGGACCCATTTCCTCATTCAACAGATTCCATCAGTGCCCAGAACTGACTGGCTCTGACTTCATACTGAGTTAGTGGCTAGCCGTGTTGCAAGACAGGGAGAAAGAATAAGGCATTTTGACACATTTATACTTTATATTTATTTTGTTAACTGCCTCACATGTTTTTGTTAAAAAGGAAAGGCAGGATAAAATATAATTAAAAAATTGAGTATTACCATCACAACTTATTTGACACATTTTTACAGCTCAGCTGTCTTGGACCATAACTATTTATTAATCACTAGCCTGATACCCGTGCTTCGCTACAGTATTTAAGTTCCATAAATCCAGTTATACTACCGATGATATGAATTTTGAAATGTGACATTTGTTGTAGGAATTCTAGGGGATAAGACCGTAGTGTAAGAAATGAAGTGAGACATACATACTTTTTCCCCCTCTACTGAAGGACCTCTCTGTAGACCACATTGGTGGTTCTGCCCTCAGGTGCTAGGATCACCAGGCTGCTTGATGAGCTCACTCTGCAGCAGGCCACATAGAACTGTCCGTTTAAGAAGCAGTTGTCTGTTAAGTCAACTCCTGCTACCTTCCATGAAAGTGATTGTTTTGCTCATATGAAGACTGTGTTGTTCTGAGCACCTCAGAGTGATCTTGCTGGTACTTGGCCTGCGCAGCTCAATGCCCCACAGGAGTACTATGTGTAAATATCTTTGCCGCATTCCTAAGTTGCCTCCTCCTGGCAGCTGCCTGTCCAGTGTAGAAGGGAGAGGGGGGAGGAGTATTACAAGCCACTGTGGAGGCGGGGCTGGCAGGATCACTAAGGCGTT